TTAGGGAGGTGAAGTACTAGGTTTGTTTATGGTTTGTTGATTTATCTGTATATTACATACATAATATGTGTGATGTACTACACACAATGTTTATATTACAGATCAATGTTTTGCGTTTATGGCAAGTTGCAAATCATTATACATTACTATGGATTAAACACATTGATCTGTATATTTACATATTTTATGGTTTGAAAACAATCTTTCGTGCTTCTTGCATGTTTCAAATCATCTCTGACGCGAACGGCCAGATCCCCCCGTAGAGCCTGGTGCCGGAGAGCCTGGTGTCGTGGTGTCGGGGGCGGGGTTTGAAGTGGGGCCACGGGCGTTTCCAAACGGTTCGGATTCGTTCGGATCCAGCGAATCGTCCGGTTCCTGAGGTTTTCCGTTGTTATTAGTTGGTTTAGTGGGGTTTCCATGTCGCCCACTAAACAGTATTCGCTTTTAGCAGGGGATCAGTTTGGACAGCGCAGATTCAGAGTAAATCTATCAGACTTTGAGTCATTTGTTGTTTTGGAGTAGTGGTGGCTGGGACCGATGGAACAATCAAACAACTTCATGGGTTTCTCCCAGTTTCCCAGCACCTGTTTCCTTGTCTGCCCAGATTTCGCTTCTTTAGCCATCCAACACAACAGAGCGTCATCACATATGTCTTCCCTCCGGCTGGGCCAGTTAGAGATTCGTTTTGTTCTTGTTCAAAGTGTTTTTTCTTTTCTCAGCGGGCTGTCTCCCGATTTGATCCGCATGGGGACCGAGGCGGCGATAGACAGAGGTCGCCTGGCAGCTGAAACTGGCTGCCGGGCGCCTCTTCGGCGACAGATGGCTGCGGTTCAGATTGCACCCTTCCGCTGCAAATTGTCTGATGGATCCCAACACGAAAGGCCCAGCGGAGACTTCTCGATCGGTTGGCTTCCATCTGGCGGAAAATATTTTCCGGTGTTGACCAAGTAGTTTGAGAGTACTCTTCTGCAAATCCGCGGAAGGGAGGTTCCTTAACAGAAACAGGGGGTTTGGGTTTCATGTTGATCTGCAAGAGTGTAATTGTGGCGCACGAATGATTCTGTGAGGGGAGTGTTGCAAAGCAGAGCTCTCAAATTACAAGCGACAAGAGGGAAGCAAATGACAAGCTTCAACAATCTGCTTGCAGCCTTGTGTCCATAGCATCCTGCAAGGCCGCGGATCCAGGATTTCACTACCCCGAACCCACCAGGAGTTGAGATGGAGTTGAGGCTAGGGACTATACACACCAACTCAATGCACACCAACTCGCCTATAGTTGTGGAACACACCATGGTCCAGGGTTGTGGAATCAAGGGGTTTATTCCCACTTCTGTGATACAAGGGAATCTCCCCCTTTATATGGGGTGGTAGTCTTTGGGAAGCCCTTTTTGCTGTATCACAGAAGTGGTCATTGCCCACAACCATGCCATGGTCTTCACTTATGGGACTATGCACACTATAGCATCACTGATTGCACAATGACAATCCAGGAACATGCACCGTAATGTTCCCCTTTGTGGTTCGTGGGTCTGGAAATCCTGGAGATTCGGGGGAAGAGCCGAGCGAAGGCCCTCGAGCGAAGTTGCATGCGCCATGTGGGTATGTCTCTCTCTCTTTGTCCAGAGTAGAAGCCCCTGGTATTCTGGTTGCTTGCCCAGTTGCCCAGTCGATTCCGCCCGTTTTTTTGTCTTTTTTGTTATTAGTATTATTATGGGGTAAGGGTTCCCCTTTAAACTCAACCAATAAAAAAAGGGTGGCCCTTTTTCCATGGCCCCTGGTCTTCTGGTTGCTTGAAGTCAAAGCGAAACCCGCCCGTTTTGGGGGGGTCCAAATCCTGCTCCAGGAGACAGTTACCCAGTATTTCTGTCTCACGTCGTGCCAACAAGACACGCGCAAAACATGATTCGGACATTCTCCGAGCTGCGTCTGGAACAAAAGTATTCGCTCGCCGGTTCAGCTGCAGTCTTCTGATTCGGAACAGGAATCCATTAGTAAACCAGCTGGTGGTTGGAAGGAAGGGGCTGAGGGATCCAAATTTGCCTCTAAAGAGGGAGCCTTTCGAAGCTACCGATCGGAGTTCTGCAAGGAATCAAATAGCAAACCCGTGAATGGATGAATAAGGTGACACCTCATTTCAATACTCAATCCGTCAGGTTGATGAATCCATTGCCAGATTCAACTCGCTTTGCCCTTTTGCCCATTTGGTGTTTCTTGAGTTGGCCTTTCGAGCAGCGAGCAAGACAATTCTTTGCAGGGTGTCTCAGTCTGGCCCAGAATCCCGGCTCGACATGAACATCCTCGGAGCATGTTTGACAGCCTGGCAGAATAAGCGAAGCTTTGAGAGAGGAGCCTTCACTTTTTGGTCCCAAGCAATGCAATGCAAATCACTTGCAGAATTGAAGCCAGTTTTGGGGGATTGTGTTTCCATGGGCTACCCGGCCCAAGAATCGCTCGGACTCATCTGAACCCATGCGCAGCGGCTCCAAGAAACGGGTAGCCTGCGTCACGTCGAGCGGCATTTCAATGGCGGTGGTAGCCTGCCAGAATTTGAGGATCGTCAGAACTCACGTACACTTGGTACTTTGTATTGGGGGGGGGGGGGCTTGTTACGGTACCCGTTTGGGGTGTTTGGTTCAAGAAAGGGAACACAAAAAGGAATCACGGGTCCCCTATGGTTGAGCGCGCAGATGCTTTGCAGAGTCCCTCAGTGAAGTCAGGAAAGGTTTCGACATGCGCTAGGTGTTGCGCTTGGTGAGCGCAGAATTGATGCGCAACTGTTTGGCTGGATAGCTATTTGGGTGTGTCTTTCATTACACAACATCCAAAATGGTGGGTCTTCCTGTTGGTTTCCCTACCAAAAAAAGTACGCCCAAAACATACACACATTTGGCATGTTGCATTAACGACACTGTCGAGTTTGCAGGTTGGAGTCCCACGGCGCCTTGGGTCCTGGAAAAGTTGGCCTTTCCTCAAAAGGGCAATCGCACTAGTTGGATAAGCTTTCATTGTTTGCACCCGCCCGCTTTTACAACAGTGCCAGACCTGAAGACAAGGGCATTTCACGGTTCTTATCTCGTGTTTACTTAGTTGCTTGACATTGTTTGCTGTTCATGGCAGTGTAGTTTGATTGCTTTTCAAATGCGAGTCACTGGCCATTGCTTTGGTTCTGGTTGTTCTTTCAATGTTGTTGGTTCGAATTTTGTTGGTTCTATTTCTTCTATTCCGCTCCACTGACCTCGGCAACTGCTGATCCACAGGCCGCGCAACTGCTCGGCCGTTTGGCTCACGGCTTGCTAGGGGGGAGCCGGGTCGTAGGGCAGCCTGCGGGCTGGCGCGGACGCTTGGACTAGAGACAGCTGAACGGATGCTTAAGTTACTAGTATAAGTACAATGATGGGCAACTTAAATATGAGGACTCCTTATAACCCTTCAAACGGTCCGGTAGACATGGGATGACCATTGGTTGGAAAATAATTAAAAGATCTGTTATTTCCACCACTATATTGCAACCACCAAAGTGGTTCAGGTTTCCCTTGGTCATTTGAGCTGCGTTTGTGTGTTTTTTGTTTATGCAGGAGTGAGAGGGGAACTGGCACGGTGGCCGCGTAGTCTACTCCTCGGAGTGCGTAGCCTCCGCCTCACGTAGCCCGTAGCCCCTTGCTGGCTGACCGCTGTGAAACTCGTGCAACACATGCATGGGTTTGAGTTTTTTTGGGGCAATCTTGTTTTGGTTGGTGTCTAAAAAAACACCACCAGGACAAACTATGTCGTTGCGGGCTTTCCGCGTTTGGCTTGTGCCACGTTTAGCCTGCAAAATCAAGCAAATCTTTGGTTTGCAGATCAAACAGCTTGTGCAGCGACACTAATTTAACCCGACTTTGTCAAAACAGACCTTCTCCCAAGCTTCCACCATGGAAGCTGATAGGTCTAAAAACTATGAGGCGGCAAGAAACACTTCTTTTTTGCGGAGCTTTCCTGAGGTTTGCAATGCGTTTCCGCAAGAAATCCAAGGGTTCTCACCAGCAAATCGACATCGGAGAATCATCATGCGGCTTGACGGGGTGTCTTTTGGCAAAGAGAAGTTCTAAGGAACTACCCCATCACAACGTGGCTCATTGGGAGGGTTTGACTCTTGATCTGCTCAAGAAAGACTTGTCGCGACACGCACCAAGGCCCTCTGAGCCTGAAGCCAGGCCGAGTCAGCAATCGCGCTTCGCGCAGATCAATCACTATGTGTGAACTTTGGTTTGGTTTTTGCATGCAAGAACAGCATGTCAAAGTGACACTTGCGTGTCGCAGAAGACCATGCCAAAGTGACACTGCCTGGCTCTGTGTAAGCCAGAACACCATGTCAAAGTGACAGGGGCCCGGCGCGTCACCAGTGTATCTTGCACGACGTTTTTTGTTGCCAAAGTGAACAATGCTCAAGAAACAGGTGTAGAAACTCCGTTGAGCGGATTTCAGTTCTTGGTTAAAGAGCAGATCAGAAGTCAAACTCTACTCCCAATGAACCACGTTTGGCCAAGTGTACTGTGGATCATGTGGGTGCGTCTCTTTTTAGGGGACTCCCCAACATGACTTCGGTGTTCTTTTTGGTTTCCCTTCAAACCAGCCCCAAAAACAGGTACCAACTCAACTGAAAGGAGAACTGACGCCATTTCTGGGTTTTGCTTCGACGGAATCTTCCCACCTGAACTTTGATCTTTGGCAGGCCACCGATCTCTCTGACTCGAGTCCCACTCCCCGAGTTCCATTGAGACTTTCCGGGAATTTTGGGAGCAAGATGACATTGCCAAGGGATGTTAGGACTTCAACTTTTTGCCAACTCATGGGTTTTCCGTATTAAACTACTATTTTGTTTTTTTGTGTTTTAAAGGCAGGGGAGCAAAAAAGCAACCGAGACTTGATACCAAAAAACGGCCCCCACCCGTATCCTTCGCTTGGTTCCTCTCCGGCTTAGCCCAAGGCGCCCGGCTCGACGAGGAGACACAACGGAGACGATGCGGGCACGGAAGCCCAGAGGCGCCATTTTAGGCAACGCTCCCTGCCTTTTTACATAGAACCTGACCGGAAAATGCGTTTTGCTACTCCGTTTTGCTGAAATGAAGAGACATGTTCATGGTTTCCCTTTTTGGTTTTAAACAGAAACTATTGCAAGTAAATCATAACCATGGAAAGCCAAGGTCCCCTCCCAGGAGCCGTTTGCGTGTTTGCGTGTTGCGCGTTTGCGGCTCGCCGTGTCTTGGCTTCTAGAAAGCGAAACTGGGCAACCAAAGGAAACAAGAGTCCATGTTGATTCAGGTCTAAGGGTAATGCACCCGCAACGCGCTCACTCAAGTGATATGCAAGGAACGTTGGGCTAATCTCTGGGACGAGCATCTGACCAACTGGCCTCGCCTGAAGTTGCTTATTGACTTCCGATGCTTGGCTAGGGATCCCGCGGCGTGAATAAAGCAAACAATTGGTGATGGAACATGAATATGTTATGAAATACCTGACAACTGGCAGAAACCGCTTGGACAACCCAAAGATGGATCTCTTGAGTTTTGCTGAAGCTTTTTCTCCCTTGCCCATAGCTTTGTGAGAATTGTTCTCTCATTTTGGTGTGGTCTGACGGTATGTAGATAAACTTGCTGGTGCTCAGTAGGGAATGAGGGAATGAACCCGAGTTGGATGTCAAGTTTGCCTTGCTTTCCTGGCGTTTCCTTTCGTTTCCTTTCGCTCCTTGCTTTCAATGTCCCAAAGGTCCATCCCCTGGCCAGTGGTTTTGGGTACCTGCTTTGGCAGCTTGCCTTTGTAAAGCCGCCGTGTTCCAACTTCCTGGTTGATTCATCCGCGCCCTGTGTCCCGAGCAGGGATCCTGGGGTTCAAGCAGGCACTGCGCCAGTCGTGCAAGCGAAATGGGTTGGACGTTGTGCCAGAAGAACCTTCGCACCAATTGTTATACGTTTACGTTGTTCAACTGATGATCCACCTGCAGCCAATGTACCAACAATTCCATCCTAGAAAACTCAACATTTCAATTTCACTCGGTACTTCCTTGTGACGACCTTGACCTGTAATTCACCAAACCGCAAGGGACTAACGGACTTGATTGGGGGATCCCCTATTATTGACTGCTATTGGGTTGGATCTTTAGACTTTAACTTTTTGGGAAATCAAGGGGTTTTCCACTAAACCCCCCAAAAAGTTAAACGTTTTGCAGGAGGGTCAACGGCAACCAAATATTGTGTTCCTTGAGGTTAATCTCATTGCAACCAAACGTCCAATCCCCGCACGTAGACACCCTGGTTGTTGCTTTGTGAAATCATGATCGCCTTCACTTGTTTGGGGAAACACCCGACCGGCCAGATCATTGATTGACACCCAGGCACTTGATTGTTCATTTGGACGTGATTGACCCTTGTCGGATTGCCCCCGTTGAAGCCAAACGAGAGTTCCATGTCAATCTGGAAAGCCATCCCTCCGCAATCTAACCACATCAACTACATGGGTGTGTCTTTTTGCGGGGACCCCGAAAGCAAACATTTGCAACTTGACTGTTCGCCTTTTGGTTTCCACGAAACATCAACTTTCAAGAGGAAGATTCGCCAATAGAACCCACGAAAAGCCGACCTTGAGCGCCAGCCCTGTCCCCAAGAATCTCCGGGCCTTGGCCTTTTTTTGGTTGGTACAGGGAAACCGACGGGAACACCCGAGCAATTCTTGGACGGTCCCCCCGAAAAAAAACGCGACGGTTCCCCCGAAAATCCAATTTGGCCATGGGTCAAAATCCAAATCGTACCCTCCAGTGAACATCCGATTCAATCCCCACCAAAGTAGATTTTAAAATGGGTGGTGAATTCACCTACCAACCAAAATGGGCCCAAAACGGTTTTGACAACCACAGCCATTCCCACTAAAGTAGACTAAAATGGGTGGTGCACCGAAAACCCCAAAATGGGATCCCATTGGTTTTGACACCCACAGCCATTCCCCCCCCCCAAGAAAACAACAAACGGTTTCCCCGCAAACCATTTGGCCAGACGGTTCGACCCTTGAGGTGACTTTAACCCAGCCCATCTCCGTGGACGAGGTGGATGCGGAGATCGTGGTGGTCGATGGCCCGAGCCCTGAGGACTCTCCACCGGGTGTTGTTGTTGTTGTTGTTGTTGTTGTTGTTGTTGTTGTTGTTGTTGTTGTTGTTGTTGTTGTTGTTGTTGTTGTTGTTGTTGTTGTTGTTGTTGTTGTTGTTGTTGTTGTTGTTGTTGTTGTTGTTGTTGTTGTTGTTGTTGTTTGTTGTTGTTGTTGTTGTTGTTGTTGTTGTTGTTGTTGTTGTTGTTGTTGTTGTTGTTGTTGTTGTTGTTGTTGTTGTTGTTGTTGTTGTTGTTGTTGTTGTTGTTGTTGTTGTTGTTGTTGTTGTTGTTGTTGTTGTTGTTGTTGTTTGTTGTTGTTGGGTTGTTGTTGTTGTTGTTGTTGTTGTTGTTGTTGTTGTTGTTGTTGTTGTTGTTGTTGTTGTTGTTGTTGTTGTTGTTGTTGTTGTTGTTGTTGTTGTTGTTGTTGTTGTTGTTGTTGTTGTTGTTGTTGTTGTTGTTGTTGTTGTTGTTGTTGTTGTTGTTGTTGTTGTTGTTGTTGTTGTTGTTGTTGTTGTTGTTGTTGTTGTTGTTGTTGTTGTTGTTGTTGTTGTTGTTGTTGTTGTTGTGTTGTTTTTTGTGTTTTTTTCCCGGTGCTGTGGGTGGTGGTGTTTTTGTTTTTGCTCTCATCTCCACGGTTCTTGGGATGTGTTGTAGTTGTTTGGTTCTGCTCATCTTCAGTGACTGCAGAGGAAGCAATGTGCTTTGCTCATATACCAAGGAGGGGAGAGGCATTTGTCCATTGTTGTATGGTTGTTCAACTGTTCGGTTTGCACGCTGCAAGAAGAGGCCCTTTTTGTTTCCGGTTCTTTTTGTGGAGGGAGTTGTCCGAACTCAACCACATCCTTTTGTGCCATGGCCTCTGAAAGCCTGCGAATATGGGCCAGGTGTGCAGTTGGGTCAGTTTGAGCGATGTTCAGTTCGGTCGTCAAATTCCAGGACTCGAGGATGTTAGTGTTCCCAATGGGCGCCTAGGGTTCGGCTTGGTGCATGTTTGCGTGTCGTCTTGGTTTGTTTGAATCAAGCCTCAAATGGATTTTTCTGCCAGTTGTTCTAGACTTGCTGGTGCTCAGGAGCGAATGAGGGAATGAACCTGGGGGTCCCCTGAAAGGAAATCACAAGGGATGGTTTATAAGGGTCATTCCATTTCTCTCCTTCCCTGCTGAGCACCAGCAAGTAAAGGGAAGCCGCGCAGTGTGAATGCCAATCATTCCTCAAGAACGGCTTTCGGGGGACAAGCTAAACTAAGATACGGGGGGTGGATCAGTATTCCGTTTGGCGCCCAAAATGACCATGAATAACTTTTCCCATGTGGGAAAGCTCCCCCAATGGTCATCCTAGAGGACCTCTTGATCAATCCCCACATGCGTTGCTTGTCTTTTATTATAATCTGTTTTGGTGTTCAAACGGAAACCATCAACACCATTTGTTGTATCACAGAAGTGGTCATTTCCCACAGCACTGCAGAGCAGCAAGACAAGCCCAGGTGGTATCCCCAACAGCCGCCGACCCCCCTGGAACCCTCCGGAACCCTCCCTGAAAGCTTCCCCAATGTCTGGGCAGAGACCCCATAGCTTCCAGGGAACAACCGCAACTCTTTGTTTTTGAAGGGAAACCAAGACCCTCCCGCCGCCCAAGACAAAGTTGTGGATTCAGGTTCCAACCCTGTGCATGAGTGTACCTTGTACATGCTCCGCCGCTACAGACTTCAAGAGCACTATCAGCAGTGTGAAAAGTAGTCAACGGTTTGCTGCTTGCCTAGGTATTACCTTAGGTGGCCTAGGCTTGATAACACAGGTTATCAGCCGTAAAGGCTTGTACAAAGATCGCCATGGCATCCGGAGATATGCCTGTTATTTACAACATATCTGGAGACGTTGGTGACGGTAGTGAAGGTGCAGTTGCATCCAATGGTCCTGTTGACCCTCGCGATCCTCGAAACATATTTGGGTTCGCGACAAACTACCAAGCCACCCAGAACATTATGCATGTGCATAACGACACGGGTGACGCTGTTAGGGAAGAGGCCAACACGTTACATCGCGTTGCTATGGATGCTGCAAGGGCGGAATATAGCGCTCATTTGGCAGAAACTGTGCATCGCCTGGATGAGGAGAACAGCCGCCGGACCCTTGAGCTGCACGAGCAGTTCGCAGAGTCCCGCGCTTTCTTCAGCGCCCAGGTTAGCCAGATGCGGGGAGCAATTTCTGCCGAAATGAACGAAGCTGTGTCGCAAAGAACGGCACAGTATAGCGCTTTCGCACAAAGCTTACATGCTGAAGCTGTTGTGATGGAGAATTCGGAGAAGGCGGTCAGTGAGCAGAGAGACAGTATTTTGGCGGAGAACCACGCCATGCAGGACACGATCAACGGGCTGAACGACACCGTTGAGCGACTGAGGAACGATCTCGAAAGGGCGCAGCGTGACATGGTGCGCGGAGATCCTCAGCCTGCGTCAAGTGTACAGAACTTCAGTTCGGAGTCGTTTTTGGATAAGAGGGGCAGTATCTTTGATGATCCGCGTCTTTTTCCAACGCAGAATGCACAAACTTCTGGAACTATGCCACAGATTATTCCACAGCAGAGTTGGACTGATCCTATTTCTGGTGCAATGCAGTTTGATATCAAAGATCATGCGAGACGGTCTTCGGAGCAAGAGAACAGCCGAAGTCAGCAAAATCAGCCGAACATTGATCGGTTGACTGGTCCCGAGACCACCGAGGCGGAGTTCCGTGCGGCCCTCCTCGGCTTCGTCCGGAATCAGCAAGATCGGCCAAAAGCAAAGGAAGCCGATTCGCTGAGGTTGAGTGAGTTTCCCACTCCTGAGACCTATAGAGCCTGGAAAACGGCTACTCGCGAAGAGATTCGGGCTGCTTCAGATCGGCCTGATGCTGCATTCACCTGGGTTAACAAGGTGTACGTCAACCGGGAGGACAAGAAGAATCTCATGTTAGAGCTTGGAGATCCAGAGCAGTTTGAAACGTTGGACACAAAGCTTCTTGCGGCCTTGTCGCGGATTGCTAGGGGCGACCTTAGTCGGCAGATCCTCACCTACAAGGAGCAACAAGCTGCTTTGGACAGAGTTGTCCGTGGACGTCAAGTTCTTCTCATGTTCGAGCAGTATTTCAGAACAAATGAGGAGGCCGGAGCGTTGTATTCCACTGAAGATTTGTTGAAGGTGGTACTTCACGGCAATGATTTGATGACCTTTATTCAGAATTGGGATTCCGTCATTGCTGGTATGAAGATCGTTCCGGAGCAGCACGTCTTGAAGGACATTTTCTTGCGACAGATTCGTGGATGTCACAAGATTAAGTATGACCTCGATACATACGAGCGTGCAAAAGATGGGTCGTATGACAAGAGCTACGAGTTTCTTGTTCAAGCCGTTCGTGATGTTTTGACGCGGGAGCGATTGCAGTCAAATCGTGATCGTGTTGCTCGAGCTCACAATCAGAAGGTCGGTGCTCCGGCTCCCAATGCAAATCCTGGGCGTGCAAGAGATCCTTCAGCAGTCAGGTATTGCTATGATTTTCAGAAAGGCAAGTGCACTCGGGATAATTGCATTTACAAGCATGAGAAAGACCCAAGACCCCCGAGCCAAAATCCGAAAGGAAAAGGTCGGGGGCGCTCTGACAGCCAAGCGAGAGACAGGGATCGGTCGGCATCGAGAAAGAGAGCGGAGCTGAAGAAGATCCCCTGCAGGTTTTTCAAAGGCGGTCAGGGGAAATGCACTCGTGGAGACAACTGTGCGTTTTCGCATGAGACTCGGTCTGCTGCACCAGCAACAGATAAGCCGAGCCCAAAGAAAGGAGCCAGCAGAGGTAGGTCTCCCACCCCAAAAGGAAAAGGGAGGAAGCGATCCCAGAGCAAAAAGGGCGAGTCCTCAGCCGCTGTGTGTCTGAGGGTGAAAGAGACCAATGCATGCCTCGCAGCATGCCGCCCAAAGCAAGATTTCTGGGAAGTTGACTCGGTGAACGAGATGGTTATTCGACACCATGTGATGCCTCGAAAAGCGCTTTATGATCCGAAGAGTGCAAAAGACCTTCCGATTTCGCTGGAATGTTTATTGGATCAGCGCATCACCAAAGCCAACATCAATGGCAAAGAGCAAGTATTTGGTGATTTCTGGGCGGATCCTGATGAAGGTTTGGAGCAATACTGGACTGGGCAAACAATTTTCATTTGCAGTACAGATGTTTCCAATACCCGCAGATGCGTCAAATTCGCAGACAATGTCGAGATCGTCGAGATCGAGGCCAACGGGCTATGCCTATCATGTGCTCCAAAGCCGAATGACCCTGAGGTTGTGTGGTATGATGGTTGTGCGCCTGGCTCAAATCCCAAGGATCTGATCGATGCTAAAGACAAAGCTTTGATTCTGGAAGGGGTTGTTGACTTGATGCATGCAAACTACAACGCGCCTTGTGGGTTCTATTGCGAATACTATGATGACAATGACCCAATTTATTGCGGTTTATATTGTCCTGGCTGTTGGATTGATGATGATGAAACGAACCTTGACGATGTGCCGGAGTACATTGCTACGCCAGCACCAGCAGGGCTTCGTCAGTGGATTGTCGACACAGGTAGTGAACAAGATCTGGTTGACTCTGAGCGTGCAGTTACACTTCAAAAGAAGATAAATCCTGCATTGACTCCAATCAATCTTTCAACAGCAAATGGATCAATTTGTGCAGACAAGATTGCGGACTTCTCCATTGATCAGTTGAACGAGGTCGTCACTCCGTATGTTTTGCCGAGCACACCAGCTGTACTTTCTGTTGGTCAAAGATGTTTGGAAAAGGGGTACGATTTCGTATGGAGAAAGAACAGTGCTCCGTACTTTGTTCGACCTGACGGGAAAGCGGTAATATTGAAGCTCGATGGGCGAGTTCCTTATGTTGACGATCAGTGCGAGGTCGTAGCTTCTGAATCAGCTATGCCTGTTGCTCTTGCTGCATCCGATCAGAAGATCGGGGGCGTTGAAG